TTTTTTTTTTTTGTATTTTCTCTTTTTAGTTAAATTATTCACGAATGTTATGGGACATGGAAAATGTACAATCTTCTGGACACTTGTCATTATTCGTGGATAAAGCATTAAAGTTACTGGATTTAAGACAAGTTATGATGGAAATTGAAACTTCCGTGATGTCTAAGGTTTCGTGTACAGCTTGCAAAGTCGGTGCTGGTTTACTTAAGAATTATATTAAAAATGGTAAAAGTGATAAAGAGATATTGGCAAATATATATCAATTCTGTGTATCTCTGAACATTCAAAGTCCAAGAGTTTGCGATGGTGTAACATTGGTATTTGGAGTAAGTGTTATTTATTTATTTATTACAATATTAATGATAATAATAATAATATTATAATTAATAATTATTTATATATAAAATATTTTATATTAATTATATTTCATTTGTTTGTTTGTTTCTTTTAAATATTTTTCAGTCTGAAGTGATTTATGTTTTAAAACAAGTCGACATGGGTCCAGCACAAATTTGCAGTTTCGTTATTGGCGATGCATGCGAGGATGCATATAATCCTTTACACGAATGGGAAGTTGCATTTCCACCTGTAAAAAAGCCACCAGTTAAACCACCTGTACCACCGCAAGAAAACGCACCGACATTCAAAGTTTTACACCTTTCCGATACACACTTTGATCCTTATTATCAAGAAGGTGCAAATGCTGATTGTAATGAACCATTGTGCTGTAGGCTTACAAATGGTGCACCATTAATACCATCAGCTGCAGCAGGCAGATGGGGTGATTACAGAAAGTGTGATACTCCTAAAAGAACCGTAGATCATATGTTGAAACATATTGCTGAAACGCATCCGGTAAATTATAATTAGATTTTAAATTTTGTTTATATAAGACGATTTGTTATAAATAATAATTATTATAGGATATCGATTATATATTATGGACTGGTGATTTACCACCTCACGATGTATGGAATCAAACTAGAGAAGAAAATCTTAAAGTTCTGCACGATACTGTTACACAAATGATTCAAATGTTTCCAGGTGTACCTATATTTCCAGCATTAGGAAACCATGAAAGTGCACCAGTTAATAGGTACGTTTCCTACGTTTTAAAATACAATCAAACCTTGGATTCCGAGTAATTTGTTTTACGATTGTTACGCAAGGCGAGCCACACAAATTTTTCATTTGTGTTAAATGAACGTTGTCTTGCGCAATAATACGACAAACGTATAAATAAAATAAAATGTAGTCTACCAAAAATGTATTCGTAGTAAGTTAAATACGGATATTATAATTTTGGTGGTGTGTTTAATTTTTATTTCATATTTTATATTTAATTTTACATGTTAAAATCTCAATAAATTATGATTACATACTTATACATACTTTTATAATATAATATTTGTTATTTCTAGCTTCCCACCACCTTTCGTACCCGAGGAAAATAGTATATCATGGTTGTATGATGCATTGGATAAACATTGGAGACGTTGGTTACCTGCTGGTGTTTCGCATACAGTTCGAAGAGGGGCTTTTTATTCGGTCCTAGTTCGTCCAGGATTTCGAATTCTTTCCGTTAACATGAATTATTGTAATAATAAAAATTGGTGGCTCTTAATTAACAGTACAGATCCAGTTAGTGAATTGCAATGGCTCGTTTATGAATTACAAGGTGCCGAAATGAATGGTGAAAAAGTACATATAATTGGTCACATACCACCTGGTCATTCAGATTGTCTTAAAGTTTGGTCTAGAAATTATTATCACATAATCAATCGGTCAGTATAATTGAGTAAAGTTTATGAACAATTTGAAAAAAGCAAAAAAAAATCATTTACTTATATCTGTTAAATGATTTTTAATTGAATCATTCACAGGTACGAATCAACCATCACAGCACAATTTTTCGGTCACACGCATTACGACGAATTTCAAATATTCTATGATACTCGAGATTTACGAAGAGCATTAAGTATAGCTTATATAGGACCTTCAGTAACACCATATTACGATCTTAATCCGGGATATCGAATATATTACATTGATGGTGATCATCCAAAAACAACTAGGGTAAAATTAAAAAATTAGAAATAATATTTGTTTATCAAACATAAAATAAATTATTTTTTTTTATTATTATTTATATTAATAATTAATTATAAATTATAATCAATATTCAAAATATTTGTATATATTAAATTATGGTTTCTTTTTAGATGGTTGTAGATCACGAAAGTTGGGTGATGAATTTAAAGGAAGCTAATCTTTATGATTATCCTATTTGGAGTAAAATGTACAGCGCTAGACAATCATATCAAATGGCATCGCTATTGCCAAAAGATTGGGATTCGTTGATCGATAAAATGTCAAACGAACCTTCCCTTTTTGATCTTTATTACAAGTAATAACAATAATACTTATTTTTGTTTAATATATTTTCAATTAGAATTTATCCTTAACACGAATATATATATATTTAAAAATGTTTAAAAATTCAATGTAATATTTAATTTATATTCTAAGAAACTTATATATATATTTTTTATATTTTTGTTACAGACACTATTATAAGAATTCTCCGGTAAGACCGCCATGTAATGACGAATGTCGAAAACGTTTATTGTGTGATTTAAGAAGTGGCAGAAGCCATGATCGCAAAGCATTGTGCCAAAGTATCGAATCAAGAATTGACAATGAAACGAGAACAGGATGGAGAGCATGGATCTATAGCGGTTTGGCATTATCGTACGTAGATCAATGGTGGCATAATAATTATAACGGTGATATTAAAACTAACAATGTTGATATTTAATTTTCTGCACATTTATTTACACCGCCACTATTGTTAAAACGTACCGCTAAAAACTTTTCAATTCTTTATCTGTACAATACTTATCTTTTCTGCACTCGCTAAAAGCAATATAATATATGCTTTTTTTTACATAATAATTAAACATTAATATTATATATACGGTAGGACCACAAATGTATGGAATATTGCAATAATGTTATTGAGAGATTGATCTCTCTTTTTATTAATTGTTGAATATTTTCTTTTTTTGTATATCTCTAATACTGTGAATTATTAGGACAGTATATTATAGATAATGCAATATTAGTTTCACTTATCTATTATATTTTATCAATTATTTTCTTTTGCATTATATTTCTTTAGGGTTTCTATATATATATGCTATTGTTTTTTAACGAAGAAATATGATAGACTATAAAAAATATTGAATAAAAATAT